ATTTTTATTTTTTTATATGTTCATTTTACCGGGGGACACCAAAGGGGAGGGGGAGGGGTGATGTTAACCGAAAAATTAACTTCAAACGGCCTAACCGACCGATAGCCGACCGAACTCATCCCTAGTCATCAAGATATCTTCGCTCAAAGTTTGGGGAAATTTTGGCGCAGCTTTATTTTTTGATAGACGTTTTTTAAAACTTTAGCGAAGATATCTCAATAACCACAAAGACAAATCCGATGAACATTTTTATATGAATTCTACTGATTCGTAGAATTTAAATAATAATAAAAAAAAAAAAGCTCATCGAATTTGACTTGGTAGTTGTTGAGAAAATTTTCATATACGTTTTTTTAAAAATTTTGAGTGAAGGTATCTCGATAATAATCAAGTGAGTTCTATAGCTTCATAGAGTTCAAATAAAAAAAAACCTCTTCTAATTTGACTTGATGATTGTCGAGATATCTTCGCTCAAAGTTGGGAAAAGTTTTATTTTGGTTTAGTTTTTTAAAACTTTGATAAATGATATCGCGATAACCAATTATTTGAATTTTACAGATTTATAAAATTCAAATAAAAAAAGTTCATCGAATTTGACTTAGTGGCTGTCGAGATATCTTTGCTCAAAACTTTAATTTACAGAGGGTATTTAATAACGAAAAAAAAAGTGAGTTTCCTTAATTACTTAGCTGCACAAGCAACCAGCTCTTATATATTACCTGATAAGTATTGAAAAGCGAAAATAGAAAAGGAAAGCTTTTACTAAAACGCACCTATGGTGTTTTACACTCTGTATACATTATTTCAAAAAGTAGCTAATTAATTGGTGTGAAGTATTCTAAATAAAAATGTTCGACACCCATAAAAACCCTCCACAAATTCTAATACTAACTCTAAATACTAACTCGTATGTAAAAAATTTGGTTTAAAAATTTTATATACAAAACTTAGAAAAAATATTTTAAAAAAAATATAATAGATGTAATACACCATAGGTACGTTTTATAATAATTCAAAGGAAATTCTGGAAATTTTTATTTGTTAGCAAGAAATTTATATTTCCGTGTGATAGTCGATTATTTAATCATAGTAAATTGAAAAGTGCGATATATTGTTATCGTTATAGCACCGTATTGCATTACTACATAAAAACCAGGCCGACATTGAGGTGATAAAAGTTTATTTTTGCGTTTTTTTGCCATTTTTCTTTTCGATTTTGTCGGGGGTTTTTTTTAATCGGAAATGAATTGTCACCACTGGTCCTAAAAAACAATAAAAATCGTAGCGAAAGAATCTGATAATACTGTAATTCATAAATTTATATTACATTCCATGCATGATCATACTTGATTTTGCGATAGGTATGTAGTACAGAACTTTATAAAAAATGATTGAGAGTTATAATATAGAAAAAATAATGGTTTAATAAAAAAAGAAAATTTTTTTTAAATATCATGACTTAATTGACAAGTCAGCATCAAAGTACTATCATACAAACGCACAGCATATAATATAAAATTACAATCGACAAGCTATAACTTTTCATTTATATTATACAATAATTATAGTTAGCGCTGTCTATCTCTGATTCTGTCAGGATTTTGGTCAGATTCAATTTGAAAAGTTTTCTTAAAATCTATAATTCTTTCTTTATAACCGTCAAACAGATCTTTGAGATTAGTATCGTATTGATGTCTGGTTGAAGCTTTAAGTTCTTTAAGAAATTTAGTCAAGGATTTTGTATTTTTTACAAACTCATCCATCACATATTGCATTTGCTGCAATTGTTTTTCGGATAGATGAAAATAATAAGCTGATGCGGCTCCGGCTCCACCAGATACTATTCCAGTTGCTCTCTGGATAGAAGGTAGGTTATCAATTTATTTGTAATTGGATAAATTAACTATTACAGCTTACCTGTGTTGTGTTCCAGTTACTCCAATTTGCGTATGTGACAGCTAATGATGCTACACTAATCCTGTGTTAGAAATTTTCACATTAGTTAAACAATAAACACAATAATTCTAAACATCCAGAATTAAATGCATTTATATACACACACAGCTGATACAGTTTTTTCAATTGTGCTCATCCATGCTTTATAATTGAACTCCTTGCTTTTCTTTTGAATTTCATCATTAATATTCCCAATTACTTTTATAAAGTTTTCAGACTTTTCGATCAAAGTTGATACATTTCCTATAACAGATGTAAAAATTCATTTAAATCAACAATTCATGAAAATTAACAATATTATATATAATGTAAAATACATACTTTCAAAACGATCTTCGGAATCATCTTCCAAAGCTTTAATGATTCTGGCAAGAATACCTTCTAAAACGTCGAGTTCACTAATAAGGGTCTCTTTATCTTCCTCAATCAAATGTTCTACGATTTTACAATCTCTGTAAACTTTATGCAGTTTATAAATTGACCAAGATAATAAAAATATTGACACAAAGAAAAGGGCTGTCTGGAGCGGAACCTGAAATAAATGGTAACAATTAATACACTATCTTGTACGATGAGAACCAAGTAAATTACATTATTATTACACATGAACCCTGTACGACCCAATTTTTTAAGTTATTAAATTGGTTTACTACTGTGCGTCTATACGACCTTTTATACTTCGTTTCGTTGGTTTTGGGTTGTGAGAATATTCCTATGTTTGTCTGGTTAGGCAATTGAACTTGGCAATAGGAATCTGTTTCAAAAAGTGATTTTAAACTGTCAACTGAGTTTTGAGGAATTTCAGAAACGCACTGTCTTGTATCCAAAATAGTCTCAATAAACGAGTTCAGTTCAGATTTATTTTCTTCTTTAAAAGTATCATTCCAATGCTCTAACGCATCGCAAAGATTATTAGCACTGGCGCTATTATTTAAAATACTATTGGCGATATTCACGCCTGAATGTAGTATGGTTGAATTAAAGGACTGATACTAAATAAAATAGTATATACAAATTAGAAAGTCAATTTGAGATATTATATTTTGCAATACAATCTTACCAAGGTATGCTGACTTAGTAGTTCACCTTCTGCGAAATGCAAAAACTGCCCTCCAACCATAATTACTACATCGTAGAGTACCCGATAATTGGCATCGACATGAGAAGTAACGGTAGGATGATTTGCTAAATCTTGCAAAATAGAAGACAAAACCATTTGGTTCATGCGTTGTATAGTCGTTACTGAAGCGAAGCGAAGAACTTTCTTAGGTTTCCGAGAATTAAATATAATATAGTACGGTAGTACATATTCTAATTTTCGATTGTATGTATGTACAGTACGTTAAAGTTTCAATCACTTCATATACGTACGTACAGTACATACGTAAAATCAGCCAACACACTGGAGATAAGCTAAACTCAGTAATGGCTTATTTAAATTTCAGTATTATGCATAGAATAGTTGCTATTAAGTAACATTATTCTTAACATATTGTTTCTATGCATAGAAGTTTATTGAATTGATAATTTATCAAAATATAATGAACAAGAAAAAAATTGAAAATATAAAAAATCATCAATCTTTTATCCGGATGATTATCAGATATAATCCGTTATCCAAGTACGTATTCGGATATCCGTTTACTATTTATATCCGGATAATTATCCAAATACCTGTCGGGTTATCTGGTGTTAACCGTAATTTAGGTTGACTCTAACACTAAAATTAATAAGTGTCTACTCTGCTTAGAATCCCTCTAATTGTTCATTTTTAAATTATGCTCATAAAGTTCAACCGGTAATCTTATCTAAATGCCTTTATCAGTGATCTAAATTACATAAGTTCATTCACAGGTCGATCGCTAACAAAGTAGCATAGATAAAGTTTTTTGTTAGTAAGGCCACTCCAAATTGATTCTTCGTTTAACATAACATTAAATAATTTATAAAAGTGGGGGGAGAGTACAAAAAAAACAAAACCAAAAATACTGTAATTTTATTGGTTGATTTAACATGTGTTGGTTATATAAAATTTAAAAAATTGAGGGGGGTAAATACTATTAATTACTATTAATGTGTATTGGGTTCATATAAATTTTGAAAAATAGGGGGGGAGGGGGTTATGTTAAACGAAGAATTAAATTGGTCTGGCCTAATTTCAATTACGAGCATGTAAAAGCATGTGAAATACGTTAGTTCTCCATAATATGATCAAGTTTATAATTATGCGCTTCCATTTTCCGGACATTTTATTCCGAAATCTTCAGTATTGACATGACTAAAAGTCGTCAACGCGCGGTATGCGCTATCCTCATAAATCCAAAATGTATAAATTTTATATCTAATTAAAAGTATTTGTATTATTATTATTATTGATTTTGACTATATAGCACATATAATATGATGTAATAACTAAATTTGTATTACAACAATACAACAGCTAACAGTTCAACCACGAAATCCCAAAATACCGATTCCCAAAACAAAGTTAGCCGGAATTAGGTATAATGCTGGTAGATTTGGTTAGTTTTATGTTCTTTCGGAAAATTGCTTTCTGAATTTTGTGGTAAAACCGATTATACTAAAATATAAACTGGAGTTAAATATTTTATAAGTTATTAACTACTAACTGTTACTTATTTAATCTTTTATCTGTATTAAATTAGTATGTGAGCGATTTTTTACTGAATTAATTATTAAAGTTTTATTTTTATATTTAATTTCACCAATTTAATCAAGACTTGATTTTTATAAACTTCTGTGGCAAAAGACACTGGTCAGATGCTCGTACACTATGTAAATTCATACCATGATGCTTTGTTATATACATCAATACATATTAATCCTGTTTTCTTTAAACGTAATTTGAATGACGCATATCATTATTCATAGTTTTGCGTGACATTATCTCGCAGCTACTTTATACATTAATGAAAACTTTTCACCGCCCTAGCTATATACGCCAGTTCTGCTTTTCCAACAATTCTTATTTCGGGATTATCGTGTATTATAGTAGTACGGTGCACAGTAATTGTCGAAATCAGAAATAACTATACAGAAACTTAAATCTCTTAATGCGCAGTAACTGCATAGTAACTATATAGTTACGATCAAATTTAATAGTAATTATGTAATTATTACGTCGTTACTATGCAGTTACTGCACATTAAGATACTGTGTATTTAAGTTTCTGTAAAATGGTTTAATGAAGAATACATAGTCATTAAGATTGGTGAAACTCCAAATGCCGAGCGCATTCTGCAATTGGTACAGATCTTTTTACTTTCGTAATGAATTGACGAATATCAAAACGCTTATTTCAAAAAGTTTTTATCCAACAATTCGAAATCATTATCAAGCAAGTTATTCTATATTACATCACATGTATCATAATTTATATCTATGCTGCAAAAAGAATCTAGAATACTGTAACATAAATTTTATATACATTTGCTGGAATAGACTTAAAGAACGTGATGCATCATTTATTTTTGAACTCATGTATATTGCTTATGAATTTCTTTTTGATGAATTGGCCAAACAACTTCAGACTCACTTAATTGAAAAAGAAGCTCATTGGCTTCGTTTACGGTTTAATAATATTTATCAAAAAATTTTCCCGAATAATAAGCTTCAATATTTACAAAAATGGTGTAACAATATTGTGTTAAAGTACCCTAATAATATTTTTTATTCTGAAAAATTTGTCACACTTCCAGAAAACGTTTTAGTATTACTTACTTCCAGAAAGCGTTTTAGTATCAGTTATTGGTCGAGATGATTTACAAATGAACTAGGAGCTTGAGTTGCTTAAAGGGAGTTAGAGATGAGTGTACTATATATGATATTTTATTATGCAGTGCAAGGACTTCATATTGTGATTAGGCTCCATGGCTGCTATAGCAATGCAAGGATCCAT